AGATTTATTTGCCTAGCACAATCATTGTGCCTATACTTTTCAACTAGCTCCGCAACCTCGTCCTCTGTCAATGGTTCGCCAAGAACCCGATTTCTCTCCTCCTCGAACCGCCGTTGATCTACCTCCGCCCGTATCGGAGCCGAGGTCCCCGACCATTCCCTGTCTAACCTGCCTGGACCAAACGGAGAGAACCTCTTAGGCTCTCGGAACCCGATTGGTTCAAGATTCGGGTCGGTCTCTGAATAGGAGTACCTGAAGTCGAAGGGAAGGTCCGATTTAAGAGGCGGCAGTTTTGTCGCTTTGGCGGAGTCGGAATGTTTCTGGTTAATCTTGGTGGGTTTGGATTTGGGAGGCTTTGGTGGCTTGGAGATTGGGGAGAATGGTGGGTCGTAAGCAGTTTCAGAGAAAAAACGAGAGATGAACCAGAGCGGTGGTGTTGAGAGCGGCCGCGGAAGGAGCTTTTGCATCTGGAGAAAGAAGAGATGACGGAGAAGAAGATGCCTAGTGGTTTCACCGGCAACCAGTAACCGCCGACGGATAAATGTTGGGGAAATTATTGCAAACCATTTCAACAAGGGAAAATCGTAATTAACCTACCTATGGTTTTGGATTATTGCATGTAACCCCTTAAGTTCTCAAAATGTGCATTTAAACACTGAGATTTTTGTAAAAAGTCACATTTCTGCTACAAAAGCAAAAGAAAAAAAAATACTTGGTAAGTAGGGCCAAAGCAAACTAATTGCCATAGAGATGTCAAATTTTCACATGTTTGACATTGTGTGCTTGGTGATATTCTTGATTTTGCTACCTAGAAGAATTGGAGGAGGTTTTCAAGCATGTGTCACATGTGCAAGAAAAAGGAAAAACTCATTATGGTGAGCATCGGAGGTGTCTCCAACATGCACCCTCTAATGTTTAAGTCAAGCAAGATCCAATGAAGATGTTGCAGAAGGAAGAAGAAGTCTAGGGGAGAAGAGGGACTCAAAAGGAATTACCTTTAATAAAGTGAGAAGGCTTTTTCATAATCTCTTCCTGATTTCTCATATAGTGGGCAGACTTACTAAATTTTGTATGTCATAGATTTCTTACCTATCAAAATAATACAAGTGACAAGTGTAATGTCCTATACAAATAGGACACATGGCATAATACAAGAGGAGAAGTGAGCAACATCTTCTGACATTCTGTAGGTGGTGTGACCTAATGGTTTATACATGTACTATCTGACACGATATAAGCCCCTTGTCCTTTTTACCTTATCCTTTACTCTACCTTGGTAGCTAAGCTAGCATGGTAACTTTACCTGAAGTAGCTTTACTTAAAGTGACTTTACTTAAAGTAGCTTTACTTAGAGTAGCTTTACTTAGAATAGCTTACCAGTTACGTAAGTCTTAACTGAGATAACTCATTAATTATGAATCTAGAAATCTCATAAGTATGTAAATCTATTAGGTATTTTGTGAGAGCCTTCTCAAGGTCAAATTGGGTTGGTAAACCTTACCTAATTCAACTATTTCGCAAGTGACATTGGCCTATCAAGAGCCCGTCACGTACATGGTAGGTATTTAGCTAGTATCATTTAGCATATTAAAGACTATTTATGTTTATTCTTGAAATAGTGGATACCATACAAATTGTATTTTCAACAAAAACTGGGGAAATTTTGTAATTTACCCTTTACAGAATTATGTAAGAACTACCCCATGTCCATGGAGACTCTGCTCAATCTCTCATCT